ATTATTTTTATCGCCAGATTTATTTCAAATAAATTTAAATTTATTTGAAATAAATCTGGCGATAAAAATAATCGAATATTTTTTATCGGTTCACAGAGAAATGACATAGACAAACGATTTTTTNTTTTTTTTTTTTCGGTCGGAAGAGATTCGCAAACGTTGAGTCTTTGGACAAAGAAGATAGAGCCGTCATTCAACGAAAAAAAAACAGATTTATCGAATTTTTTCGTTCGTTGGTGTTCTTTTGTTGAAACTATATTTACATGTTACCAAATCAATCCGTTCGTTTTTATTTATTTTTTTTCTTTTTTTTTTTTTATCTTTACACACACACACACACATATCGAAATATTCTTTTGAAAGTTTATCGAGAGAGTTATTCGAATTCAACGAGTACTTTTCAACGCGATTCGATGGAAAATTCGTAAACAAAAAGGATTGGCCGAAACGAAAAATTTCTACGAATGACTCGAAATAACAGTGATAAGTGGTTTCTGTTTCTTTTGGAAGAACGGGGGGGGAGGATTTTTTTGTTTGTTTTCTTTTTACATCGACGATGGACGACACAACGGAACGATCGGAATACAATCAGGAAACTCTTCCTGTTATTTATGGAATTATTATAGCGTTGATTACTTGCTTCGTAGGATACGTTTTGTGGGTAAGTTAATGAGGTGTATTAACACGTTGATTATTGTCATATTGGGTCATACGTGATTAATCAATTTTATTAATATCCTTTTTATATTTTATCGTAATACACGTCAAAACTCTCAACGATATTAAAATGAATTAATAATTTATCCAACGTTTTATATTTTTCTTTCTCTCTTTCTTTCTCTTCGTTTTTATCATTTAATATCGTAACGAAACAAATTGCATGGGATTGAAAACCCTTCTATAGAGGTTAAGAGATATAAAAATAATAATGATAAATCTATACGAGAGAATAAAGTCAGTTTTGAAATTGTCGTTTTGTTTCTTACAATTGAAAAGGTAAGATAAATCACAAGATGGTCCACGGTAGTATTAATCGATATTGCTTATGTTAGACATGAGAGAAAAATATCGAAGTAGTTTTTACGAAGTCAGTAGTAATCCTTTTCACGTTAATCGTGTCTTCTTCTTCTTCTTCTTCTTCTTTCTCAGAGCAAACCACTAGTTCCCCAACGTGCAATCCGCACTTCATTTATCCCTTTCTTACCCCCACACTTCTTTCTATTATTCCCCATTGGCTTAGTTGGAGGTTTCCCTTTTTTTTTTCTTTTTTTTTCTTTTTTTTTCTTTTCATCAAGGGAACAATTGAGAAACGAAAATTGGAAAAAGGAGAAAGAGGAAGAGAGAAAGAAGACCCACCCGTGTATTAACGAATGCTGTTAGCATAAACGTGCTTGCAACGATAAGCATACTCTCGAGATATTCAATCGGGTACGTGGACTCAATAGAATTTCATTGTCCTATCGTGTTCCTCCGAAACCAACCAAACGTCCAACCATTTGCTATAACGAATGTGCACGAAATAATCGATCAGTGATGTGCGTTACGGTTTAACGATAAGTTACGATCGATCAATCGATTGAACGAACGATTATTCCCTCGGTCGTTCTCTCGGTAAATTGAATTTTCGCAAGACTCAAATGTCCATTTACAATACTCACTTCATTAACATAGTTTCTATGGGATTATTATCTGTAGATTATTATTCATCCAAAAGAAAAAAAAAATTATATATCAATGAATAGTTAACGCGATTATATGTTAACAAGATTATTCGGTATACTAAGCGCAGTTTTTGTTATTATAAAATAATAACAATAATTATTATATATTGTATATATATGTATAACATATAAGAGTGTGTTATTACAAAATAATAAAATACGAATTTCATATAATCATATGATTATCCCTAAAGTTATGATCAAATATGTTAAAACAATCCTATGTAATATTCATCTGCTTAAACAATTTTTATAGAAATACTCGACTATTTTATTTTATTTCTTCTTCGTACTAAATGTTGTCTTTCAATGGTAAGAATTTCGAACATAAGTTAATGTAAAATCTTTGAAGGGTTCGTACAATGGCCAAAGAAGGTCTACCCATCTTCGGTTAGATTGGAAACATCTGGGACAAATGTGTCATAAGGTTATACCTACCTTGTGTCTTGAACATTACCATAATAGTGTAATGACGTGACATTATGGGACGTACGTTATGGGGTCCGATCGTTTGTCGGATGTAATTACAAGACAAGACATTGCTAGATGCACCAGTAGGACATAATTATTATCGTGCTCGCCAGGGGCGGAGGTGGTGGTGGTGGTGATGGTGGTGGTAGTAGTAGTAATACAGTAGCATATACAGTTATGTGTCTTCATATAACGGGTATACATATTTGTGAAGAGACAAGAACAAAGCTTTTGTACAATGGCCAGGAAATTGCACGACACCAGATAAAATTCTTTTTCATAGTGTTTCTCTCCTCCTTTCCCTATTTTCTTCTTTAATTACCTTTCTTCCTTTCTCCCTTTATCTCTATTTTACATTCCCTTTCGTACCATTCTAGGTATTTACCGTCGCACATACGGGAAAGAGAGATAAAGATAAAAAGATTCGGACGGAAATATTTTCACCAAAAGAAAATAATATTATTTATTACGCAAATCTCTCGTAATTTCACTTAACTGCGGAAACAAAAGTACAAATATAATTTATAAATTATAACGCGATTTAGAATTCGTTGTGTCGGTAAACAAACGTTTTATGATATTCTTTTAAATCTCTCTTTGTGAGAGAGAAAGAATCAAGCCTCTAATTAAACGCTGTGTTTTTACATCTAAAGAATATTTTATTATTTTGTTCTGAAACATTCTATTGAATTTTTTGATGATTTTCTCTTAATGATTTTAATTAAAAGTTTAAGAAAAGAATAAAAAAAAAGTTTTCCATGAAATGGTTAAATAGTGATCGCAATTAAACCCAACTTGGATTAATTATGTAGGTTTATAAACAGTGTTAATTCAGAACTCTTTAAGTTAACGATCCGTTTCTGTGTATTTGTACGAACAATGAAGAAATTTTTATATCGTTTTATTCAAGAAACAATAATATTCATTTTACAATATTTTTATCCCTTGAAAAACTTTGTTATTTTAGGATAGTTTAGATTTTCATGAATCATCAAGAACAATTTTCCCTTGTTAATTCTAATTGAATTTTCATCACGCACATGATAAAATAATATTTAATCTATCTGTACATATTTGAAAAAACATTATTTTGTTAACACTGATATACGAAAATAATTGAAAAACCGTATAAATATTATTTCTTTGTCGAAATTCGTTTAGTTTCATTACTCTGTTTTATCTTCCATTAGAAATATTCTAAATCGATTTGCGCGCTTTTTATTTTTCTTCCCAACGCGAGAGTTATTTTCCTACGGTAGGAAAAAAAAAAATCGTTTGTCTATGTCATTTCTCTGTGAACCGATAAAAAATATTCGATTATTTTTATCGCCAGATTTATTTCAAATAAATTTAAATTTATCAAACGAAAAAAAAAACAAAAATGAAGTTAATCCAATATGACGATCATTTTAATAGATTATGAATTAGGTATATATATATACGCGAATCGCATCGTATGCAATTGAGTTAAAAAAAATTTGATAACCATGATCGTAAATAAATTCGAATCGATAAGAAATATGAAGGAATCCCAAAGGAGAGTGACAGCATAAATTTGTAACGGGGTATTACTCGAAAACGACAGAAGGAAGGAGAAGGGTGGTAGAGAGGTAGGGTGGTAGGAGGTTTGTTACGATATCTGAAAGAAATAGGGTGATTTGAAGAAGGAAACGACAATCTTTTACGACTCTTTTCCGCGAAAACCATTTTACGTGGAGAAATTCCGACTCTTCGCATTCGAGATTGCACCTTAGAATCTGTTCGAGTTCTGATAGGTGAATTTCCTGTGGTATATTTTACGTGACCTATCGAGATTGTATTTTCTTTTATTACATACATATATATACACGTTTATTTTCTTTCCCCGTCATACAAATTGATTCTATTCGTCTCGTTTTCGAATACATTCCAAAAAATATATATATATATTTCCGAAATAATAATAATAATAATGATGATAATAATAAGACTTAATTTACGATTTATCGTGTCTTTTGGCTAGATCTCAATGACTTTTTTTGTATTACGTGTGGATTTATCGCTGTCTCAAAGGATTCCGACCATAGGAACGATCCTTTTCGCGGCTTATCCTAGCCAGAGCAAAGTTTTATTCCTCGGCGTGCTTTTACCCGAGAAGATCTTTCGCTTTTATGTCTCCTCGTTGAACCAAGCTACGACTACAAGAAGTACCATCTCTATCGCGTAGACTAAGTCGACGATAGAGAAGGAAAAAGAAAAGAAAAAAAGAAGAAAGAAAAAAGGAAAACGAAGGAGAGATTTTTCGATGTACAAACGAGTTGCGATAGGAAACGAGATATGGATGTTACGATAACAAGTTACAAATTATTACGAGGATTATATACACAATTAAATGTTTTATAATATTATCATTATGCTATCCGGTGATCTCATTATTATCTACTCTTTTATTTATCGAGAAAAATAAATGAGCTCTTATAAAGTAGGAAATTAAAATTTTCTTGATGTTCGATATATTTTTATTCGTATAACAAATATTTAATCAGAAATATTAAAGAATTGTTCTCTATTATAAAAATTTTCGAGATAAATTCAAATGTAAAATCTTTATGGAAAAAATCACAGAGTATTAGCCGAGTTTTTTTTTTTTACTAAAGAGAATAACAATCAGGATTATACAAAATGAAACGTTTTAAAATATTTATTTTTCATTATTCGACGATCAATAACTTTATCTACTTTTATTTATTGGAAAATAAAAGTGCTTATAAAGAGTGTGAAAATAGAGAGATAAAGAGTTCTTTATTTTTTTTTTTTTTTTCCTTTTTTGTTGATATTCTATACTTTATTGGTAACAAATGTAATGAGATATTTTAAAGAGAAATTTTTCTATTAACGTATTATAAATTTAAAATAAATCCAAATGTAAAATCTTAGTTAAATATCGGGGAGGATTAGTATCGAGCATACCATAGATCGTATTATTCAAATCGATGTCATTATTGTCAAATACATTTTGTTCGATCGATTCGTAAGGTACGATTTTATTATCTTTTTCGCGATTTTTCGATAACATCTTCGAGTCGTATACCTCTAAAGGATTATCTAACTTTTCCTTACTTTTCGGTTTGGTGTTAGGATCGGTCACATAAAGGAAACTCAGTTTGGATTTGGTTTCCTTAGTGGTTTGTTTCTTATGAGGTCCTTCCTGCATCGAAACTTCCTTCGTATATTTTTTCGATGTAAGCGCTTTCCACGGAAAAATTGTACCTTCGATGATGCCGTTGTTTTCCTTAGGTAAAAACACGTCGGGAATTATTTCAAATAATTCTGTATCCAAAGAGGACGACACGATCGACGTATTTGAATTATTTTCCTCGGATTTTTCAAAATCCTCATCGTTTATTACATTCTCCTTTTCCTCCTCTTTATTATTTCTTCCTTCCTTTTCATCTATTTTTTTCACCTCATCTTCCTTCACAGTTCCAAGATTTTTCACGTCAGTTTCGTATTCTTTTTTCGACTCCTCGTTCTCATTTTCCTTATCTTTATCTTCCTCTGAAAAAGGAACGTCTCCTTCTTTTTCTTCTTTTTCTTCTTCTTTCATCCGATTTTGTTTTATTTTTTTCGAACGACTCATGTGATGATCAATTTGATGTAAAAGATCCTTCAAAATCTTCTTCTCGGCTATAGTAAAGTCCACTTCGGGAAGATGTTTCGTCAAGATTTTTCTTTTCAAAGATTTTCCACGAATTTTTCGACCGAAGTTTACGGACGCCAACGGTGCCATACGACGAAATCCTAAAATTTCAGGACTCTGTTCTTCCCTTTTCTCCGATGTCTTATTTTCCTGCTTAAGATTCATTACATTTGTCAAACTATTGTTCCGTTCGTTTCTTGAATTTGTTATTTTCAAAGACTCTCCTCCAGCTTCGTTGGTAGCTGCTTTCGTAGACGTGTTATTTGTCTGAAATTGGATAGTACGACAATTCGATCAATTTATATATAGCTATATATATTTTTTTTTTGTTACACTTATTCGAGAAACGAAAGTTTTGTAGCAGCAGCAAAAGAAGAAGGAGAAGAAGAAAAAAAAGAAAAAAAAGAAAATAAGCTCGAATTCTCGAAGTCGAAGAAAACGAATTCGAAGGTATCCCTTTCGATTTTTATCTTTTCTCTCTTTTACTTGGACATTTTCACGGACAAATGCACTTTTCTGACTTTACCGCATTGAAGAAGTCTTCCGTGCTATTGATGGTACTGGTAGCCGCGTTCTTCCCGATGCTTTCAGGAACTGCGAATCTCTTGAATTTTCTTTTTCTCTGGGACTTCCATTTTCTTTGTATCTTTTGATTCGTTTTCTCGGTCTCCTCCTCTTCCTCATCCTCCTCTCCTGCTGAATTTTCTTCCAACGTCGACCTTGACTTACTCCTGCGTTACAATTTCAATAATACACGTTTTATATACAATTTTATATTATTTTCTTTTCGTCCAACACTTACCAATTCAATTTTATAGTTATTCGCGTATTACTAAAAAAGAAAAAGAGAAAGAAAAACACGAACAACTTTTCGCGAGAAAAGTAAAAACTTTGTTAAAGATAAACCCACCCCCTTTGATTGGAACGATAACGAAGAGAAAAATCAAATTGAAATTATTGAAATAAGATTGAATAAACCAAGAATAAAGAAAGGAAAGAAAATGTACGTTCCAATGGAGCAAAAATAATAAGAAAAAGAAAAAGGAAAAGAACTATATATATTAACGAAATAAATACAAAACCTTGAAACATAATTCCTCTTTAATAAGTTTCGTCGGTGATTCGATAAATATTCGTTGTCTCCTGCGAATTCGCCGGCGTCGAACACCTCGGACGTAGAATAATCTGTAAATAAATAAAAAAAAAAGGAAAAAAAGAAAAAGTTAAGCATCAAAGGTGTCGTTTTCAAATAAGCGGAGCAGGGCTGGGTGGGTGGTAAGTAGGATATAGTAGGGTAGAAGGAAGAAGTGGGCTGTGGGTGGGGGTGGGGGTGGGTACGGAAGATTGTCGAGGGAAAGGAAGGCCGATTAATTGCGTGCTTTCGTAGAGAGCAAAGAGAGCGTGGAATAATTCAGTGAAGAGTACTGAGTATAGAATGAGATAGAAATAGTTAAAGAGCGAAAGAGATAGATAGAAAAATAAAAAAAAAAATAAAAAGGGACCAAGGGAGAAGATTTACGAGCGTTACGTGCGCGTTCTACTTGCAGTATATCCCTATCAAAGGGAGCCACTTAATGGATCATGTGTCGTACGATCGCGTTCTACCAAGTCTACAAGATTAAAACTTACGCTGAATTTACTCGTCAAACGGAAAATTCAATCCGAATTTCTTCGTTAGTATCCAAGAGGAAATTCGGAAAATTTCATTGCCAGGACAGGATTGCCCGACTTTCAAATATTCGCTTCGATGCTCGTTTAAAAGATCGTAAATGGATTAAATGTACTGCAATTATTCTATAATTTGTAATTATCCTTGAGAAAATTCTCTCTTTTTTTTTTCTTTAAAGAGTAATTCTTTGTAATTGATATAAGCTGTTACGTTGCGCTCTTTATTAACACGTTTCCTGTCGTGATGTTTATGTGAAGATGTCATCTCAAAACCACGTGTACCGATTTCGTCAGACGTTAAAAGTTATATACAAAAGTGAATAAAAAATAGAAAATATCTTCTATATTATACTTATATATTTTCATAATAAGGAGATAAATTTTGTTAAAACAATCAATACATAAATAATTACTTTTGGATGAAAATAATTGTATAGAAAACAACAAATATCATTCGACACACAATACGTTGTAATTGTTTTCTTATTTTTTTGTTTACGTAGATACATGCACCTGCCAGATATAATTGCATATTATCACAGTTTCAAGTATTATCTTGTAGATCAATGCATCTCTGTCTCTCTCTCTATCTATCCTTGTTTCCGAAGAGTACCTACTATTCGTTACGCATTTCGTAAATCGTCGAGTCATCGTTCGTGTCTAGTCGATGAGAACAACACGAACGTATTTTGCGGTACACGTGCTTACGTAGTTAGCTTCAGTCGTTGTTTAGTGTTGTCGTTGGTTGTTGGCGTTGTTGGATGGTTGGTTGGAAGGTGCAACCATCGTCGTCGTCGTCGTCGTCGTAGTTGCATTTACGTACGTGCACGAAATCATGTGTTAGCTCGTAAATGTCCGTCGAAACGATTTGCCTGGGAGCTTCCCCATCGACCGGCTATTCTCGTTTGGAATCTCTGTCCGCGACTATGGCGATCGCAATCGTTACAAGGTTGGTTGTTGGTCAAAGAGAAAGAGAGAGGGAGAGAGAGAGAGAGTAGAGTGGCAGTTTAGCGATATTTAATTGTCACCGAAGCACGAGCCGTAATTGAATAGATAAAAGCGTGGTAACTATTACGAGAGGACCACGTACCTACCAACTCGTACCAATTACATTTCACCCTCTATATTCGATATCCAACTGCTTAATCCTGTTTCTCTTTTTTTTTTCTCTTTTTTTTTTTATATATAATTCATTATACTTTTATCACTCACATTCGAATCATTTTATTATTTTATCCTCGTTTTATTATTTTGTCTGGGTTACGTCAGGATTACGTCAGAGTTTTAATAGTTGAAAAGATGGATACAGGATGAGGCGTTTGAAAAATGAATTTTTAACCGATAATCGAATAAAATTTGTTGTCAATAGATTTATCGAATATACGTAATAACAATGCCAACGATTGTGAGAAACGAACATTGAATAATTATTTAAAAATTTACGAATCGATTACGTTTAGTTAGAAAAATTCGTCAATATCGACAAAGTTAATGGCAAATCATAGTGAACAATTTAATTTTGATGAAAACAACAATGAAGATGATTCAAATAAACTAGTAACGAGGTTGGGTGAGGAAAAGTTATGGGGTGGGGTAGGGTGTGATGGTACTGGAAAAGGGGATGGCCACGGGAGATGGTGTTGTTTCCTGTTCGAAAGCGTACAAACTATAACTACCTAAGTAAGATATTTTCTTGTATGATAACACTTGTTGTTAATGATAGTACCGTACTTTGCGTAAATGAAGATTTAATTGTAATGTCACGGTGTTAAAAGTGGAGAAAATTGGTAGGGCCAGGTATACCTATTAATATCTTTCCCAACACTTAATAATGTTGATCCTGTAACATGCATCACGATTAAGGAAAATCGCTGCATTCCCCGATAGAAGAAAATCAGGATTTTCACGGGTATATTTTAGTATGTCGTACGATAAGAACGTTACTTAATTATTCCGGTCATGCGAAATTAACTATTCAAGAAGTTGGATCGTCGACGTACCTATATACCATTAGTCTATTATAGTCATTTATAATGGAAAGGTTGGATTAATAATATATCAGCAATTATTTTCTATTCTTAAAATTAGGAGATTTCAAATTTCAACTGGCCATCGTACAGTGCTCGTGAATAATACAAATCGTCGGTATTATTTGTCGAATTAGCGAATATCGTTTGAATATCGAAGAAAGAAGTCAAATTGATCGATTATCGAATAGCTAATCATTTTGTTATATCCGTCAATCAATTTTGATAGAAAAAATTTTATCGTTCCAATCATTTCGCGCAATACGGTTTTGAATCTTTCAATGAAAATAATCGAATGAAAATCCCCGTATGCGTTTAGCTATAATATAACGTACCGTAGGAAATATCGATTTTAGATATAAAACAAAAACGGTGGGGGGGGTATTATATTTTGTTCCTTCTTTTTTCTTTCTTTTTTTTTTTNTTTTTTTTTTTTTTTTTTTTTTGTTTTTTTCCTCTCTCTCTCTCTCTCTCTTTTTCTTTTTCTCGTTCGTTCGATCTACGTGGTAGAGCTGACCGTTACATCGTAAATTACATTGCTAAGATTCGCCGTAATCTTTCGAAGGTGACATTACGCCTTGGAAGCTTTCGTACGTGACTTTTCAAGGAACACTCGGACTCATTCCATATCAGCTTTACCATATCGCGATCGTAAAATTCAATCTGGGATATATGAATAACATTTGCCCGAAGGTATAAATGTTTTCCAACTTGCCCCCCTAACTAAAAACAGAATAATCTTTTTCATCTACTCTATCGAAAATTATCGATTTTAATCAAGGCACACTTGTTTCAATCGTAAATATACTAAAACGCACATTATTACGATATTACTATACTGTTCGTATAAATTAAACCGAATAAAAAGAAAATATTGTATTACTTGTTATACTAATAACATCGAATTACTTGTATATTCCACGCACCACACATCGAATATGAATTATACGGATAATAAATAAATTAAACTGGCCCTGTGTGTACAAAACCGATCCCACTCGTTTACCACCATTTACCTTACGTGTTCGGAAAATCCTGTTTTATATATATATATATAAAACAGGATTTTCCGAACACGTAAGGTAAATGGTGGTAAACGAGTGGGATCGGTTTTGTACACACAGGGCCAGTTTAATTTATTTATTATCCGTATAATTCATATTCGATGTGTGGTGCGTGGAATATACAAGTAATTCGATGTTATTAGTATAACAAGTAATACAATATTTTCTTTTTATTCGGTTTAATTTATACGAACAGTATAGTAATATCGTAATAATGTGCGTTTTAGTATATTTACGATTGAAACAAGTGTGCCTTGATTAAAATCGATAATTTTCGATAGAGTAGATGAAAAAGATTATTCTGTTTTTAGTTAGGGGGGCAAGTTGGAAAACATTTATACCTTCGGGCAAATGTTATTCATATATCCCAGATTGAATTTTACGATCGCGATATGGTAAAGCTGATATGGAATGAGTCCGAGTGTTCCTTGAAAAGTCACGTACGAAAGCTTCCAAGGCGTAATGTCACCTTCGAAAGATTACGGCGAATCTTAGCAATGTAATTTACGATGTAACGGTCAGCTCTACCACGTAGATCGAACGAACGAGAAAAAGAAAAAGAGAGAGAGAGAGAGAGAGGAAAAAAACAAAAAAAAAAAAAAAGAAAAAAAATAACGCCATCATCGAGCTGACCGAAAATATCCGCGTGCCGTTGTCGTTTCTTTTAATCCCGAACTCCCCATAAATTTTCCGTTCTGGAATACATTAAAACCACAGCCACAACGGATAAAGTAAAACACCTGTGATCGAGTTCTTTTTATTTTTTAATTCTTTTTCAACGCCTGGTCAGAAATTCGTTACACGGAATTATTTCAATAGGGTTCTTTAATGATTTATTCTTTCCTCGGCATATTTTCCTTTTTTTTTTTCTTTTCTTTTCTTTCTATCTCGTCCTTATATAAAATATATATCACTTACCGTACGACCCAGAGACAGCTAGGATGAAAGAGTATAGCAAAAGAAACAAACAGCTCGTGTAGAGGAGGTTCTTACGTTGGATGATCGTGACCATCTTGCCCGGGAAAACGTTCCTTGTATACTCGAAGAATGTACATATATCGATCATAGAGGCCAAGTGGTGGGGTCGATTTATCGCTAGCGCACAAACTCCCTGTAATCTGTCTCGCTACTACCACGGTGACAACAACAACAACTACTACTACAACTACGACGACGATGACGACGAAGATACAACGCTCGAGAAAACTAAATATCGATTAGATCAACTTTGACCCGTTAACCCTGTGAACCGAACAACGAATTACCTCGTCACGAAAATCATTCTTTTTTCTTTTCTTTTAACTTATACATTCAAATAAATTATTTGTTATTTTAATTACTATTTATAAAAGGAAAAAACGAAACACACAACCGTTCTAATTCTTTATTTTTTATTATAAGCTTTTTACTCTTGTTCGGATTTTCCGTATCGTAAACAATTTATATATTTTAAATCACAAATTATTTATTTTATAATTTTCAAAATTTAGTAGAAATAAAAAAATATATATTACGTATCTCGTTAAAAAGTTAAATTGTATATTCGTTTATTCTTTTTTTGGAATTGTATTGCCAGATCTTTTTTTTTCTTTTTTTTTCTTTTCATAAATTTATTTAACGAGTTTTCCCAACCGATCTTAATTATTTTAACCGTACAAATATTATGAGTACGAAATTATACGTGTATACGTGGCGATTGTTGTTATTATGTTTATTCTTTGTTAATGAGTTTAAACAGGGATTGTATTTATTTTATACCTTACAGTATAAAATCTGTTATCATAATAATAATAATAATAATATTTATTTTAATTATAATGATAATAATGCAACCAGTACGTACGTATAATGTTTAATAATAATTTTGATATGTAATCCTACATTTTTATCTCTCCAGGTATCATGTTTATATCTCTTTTTCTCGTTTAATTTTTATCCGATTTAATACAGCTTGAGATTATTGGTAGAAAAAAAATAATCAATGCGAATGTCAGAAGAACGATTTCCCATAAAATTGATAACAAATATTGTTGACCGAAATGAAATTAACCGTAAAGTTTCGTGTAAGATAATCTGACCATATTATTGAAAAATTATGACTGTCAAAAAATATCATATATTAAAAAAAAAAAAAAAATAAAAATATAATACTTTCGAGACGAAAAACGTAAAAGAATTGAATTTAGATAAATTACGAAATAAAACTTAAATCGTTGTCTCATCTCGAAGAATCCTACGAGAAGAAGAAGAAAATCTTTCAAATAATCTATGGTCACAGTTCTGATCTTACGATTGACTTTTTTCGAAACGTGCGCAGGAAGTTTGTGCGGAAATAATTTTTCCATTTGATCGAGTCAGCCAGTCAGTCAGTGAAGTCAGTCTCTCGGGAAACATCGCGAGCGTACGATGATGACGATGGCAACGATTATGATTACGAAGAAAATCGTGAAGGTTTTTTCTTCCTTGAGTTAGAAATATACAATTGTAGTCGTTTATTCACATACATCATCTATCGTATACATTAAAACGTCGTATAGACGCGAGTTAGAAGGTATACACACAAGTTATTATACGTTGTCGTAGAATTTGTCACGTGGCGACATTTCATATGTTAGTTTAAGCTCGTCGTAACACGTTATCCGTGAAATTATATTCGACTTGGTCGATTTAATCGAACGAAGCAATAAAGTGCAACGGATAAGACATAATATTTCCACTCGTATAAACGTTACGAATAAGCGCACGCACGTGTATATGTGTGCAAGTGCGTGCAAGAGTATAAGTTAACGTGTATGTCAGATAAATACACGAAATGCAAACCGGTAAATTTAATTGTACGGTATGACCAGTTGCCGTGCAGTATAACGATTCGCGAAATTACACGCGTAAAAATAAACAAAGCGAATTTACCCCTCTACCCTTCTCGCAAACTTCCCCCCACGTCCCCCAAGAGCCACTCGAGTGATTATTTTTACAATACAATTCTACGTAACGACGACTACTGTATTCCTATCTTACACCTTTAACATTAATTACTCTAAATTTTCAGCAGTATTCGCTGCAGCATCCTTGTTGTCAATTTAAAACTAATGAATATTTTTATTTTGTAATACAATATTTACACATTTTCTTATACACAGAAACATAGTTTAGGATTATTCAACTTTTCTATTGATGAGAATTTTATTATTGCAAAAGTATTATTTTTAAGAATGAGTACAAATATATTTCTTTGATTTTCACTGTACGTGTATTCTTTAAAAATTGTCCACGAAAAAAGAAAAAAGAAAGAACGTCAACGCAACGTTGTTTTCTCCTTCTCTCTCGTGTTACGTTTTTATTCAAATTGAATTATTATCTTTCATTTACAGCCGACGATTTTTGGAACAGTCGCCTCGGACCTGAATCCGAAAGATGGCAACAGTCGAAGGGTGAGTTTTGCTTTCACATTACTTTTTTTGTTTTCTGTATACCAAAAATATTATCTCAAAGGATGGTGGTACACACCGAACACTTCCTTTTTTCAACGAATAAAAAATATAAAAAGTAAAAAACAGATAGGGGGTTGGAATATCTCGACACTAGCTAGAGATTTTTGTCTGCAATATAGGGTAAAAGGTAAACGAAATCCCATGGGATTCTTTTTCTCGTTTAATGAGTAAAAATTGCTGGTAAGTCGGTGTTGTGTTCACTAACCACCGTAAGATAGACCAGTCGGGTCTAATTAAAAGTAACAGCCACGGAATAAGGGAGTCTCTACTACCCCGTTCCGCGATGAAGAACTTTCATCCCCCTTTTTCTTTGTGATCCTTAACGTTGAAATTACCGTAAATTCGGGGCTTCCCTTTCTCCCTAACTTGTAATCGTAGAGAAAAGAACTAAAGGATAATTTTGCGGAGGAGCTACATTTTCGGTCTACAAAATTAGAATCTTTCTTTATCAAAGGTTTTATCTTAAGGTATATTATAGTTGAAACTTCATATTTTTACTCCCGTTTTCGCGTGAATACTCTGCCTCTTCTATTTGATCTCTTTTTTCATTGGAAATGATCACGTTTTTTTCGTCCCAAATAATCATTTCTATGTGATCGTAATAGATATATTTAATTTCTATCGAAAGAAAACTTTTTTTTTTCTATCGTCAGTGTGTTAAATAAGCTTCTTATATTGTAATAACGATAATAATTATTTCGCTATATGAGTAATCGTTTTTGGCCAACGTTAACAACGTCCCATGCGTACACTGTACCTAATTAATCACGGTTTCGTCAATATTTTCATTCTATACACAAGATAGAACGGCTTTTATCTGCCGTCAAGTCCGTTACGTTGTAGAATTAATTGCACTACGTTCCTGGGCTAATATTTCCATAGGTTTAACCAAATCAAGAAAAAGAAAAGATATTTCAATGAAGCGACTCATAAGAAAGATGATTATCCTTTCAACGCAAAAAAGAAAAGAAAAAAGTGAACATATTTTTGATTATCTACACCCTATACACTATTCATTTTTTAATATTACATTTTTTCTTTCTTTTCCTTTACGATACATCTAATGTAATATTTAGTTGATTATTCGTCAAGAGAAATATGAAAAAAGAGAAATTGTCACTTTAACAAAATTGTTTTTACGTTTTCAATAAAATACGACGAAAAGAAATAAAAAAAAGAAAAAAACAAGCGACGACACGGTGAATAGAAAATCGAAATAAACGGCGTATATAGTCTTTCATGAATATGTACAACCAGTGCTGTTGTTGTTGTGTTGTTAGGTATATATCGGTGGAAAGTGAAGTCGAGGGGAAATATAGGCGAGTATATTTTAGTTGAAGGAGATTCGAGAGTGAGTTTCGCAATCATCGACGTGAGATCGTTACAGATTAAAACGAACGGATAGGTAACACCAATACGATTACGTTTGTAACCGTGTAACATGCCTCGTAGGAGATTTTGCCGTGATGCGTTTAACGTAATGGAAGAACAAGCATGACTGCGATTGCAGGGCACCGCACAACTCGATTAATATAGAACCGACCGGTATTTTCGTTGGATTTGTTAGCAGTCTCTCGAATATTACCGTTCAACAAATAAAGTTTGACTATTTTCACGTGTTACTTGGCCGGTTATCGAACTACGTCATCGAACGATGAATGTCAATATTGAAGAAATCGATTCAATACGCGTTTCAGATATATTCGAGTAAAATGTGACAATCTTTTTTCATAAAATCTAACAATTCTCTTCGTTTATTAAAACTCCACTCTAATTTCGTCTATTTTTTTTTTAATAAAAATAAACTGAATATACATTCAACGTGTACGTAAAATCCAATTCTTTGTAGTTCTAACGTAGGATTAGAAAAAAGAAATGAAGTACGTGTATTGTAGAATTGCTAGAGATTAATTATATTTAGACATTTTCAAGATAATTTTATGAAATGAGTAATGGAATGCGTCACGTATAAATGAGTCAAAGTATATATGGCTGTTTGTGTGTTATACTGTACGTTGTGAAATCAATTAAAATATTATTATGAACATATAGGAATATACATTAATGGTGAAAAGTATTTTTAATTAGAAAAGATATACGAGAATAGTTCATTTCTATTGTAAATTCGTATAACATTGAAACCATTTGTTATAACATTGCATTTAATCTTATATACGATTTGTTAATTCTTTCTATTTTATTATATTATTATTAATATTATTTATTCGGTGTATATAGTTGAAATACGTCATATACAGATATTTGCCCTATATCTTAAAGATAAAATATATTTATTTATTTTCTACGAGAGATTTCGAATGATTTTATCACATAGTGCATATCTTTGATCACATTAGTATATTTTTTTTGTTTCATTCTTTTTTCCCCGTACCGTTCCGGTTTTTACGTTTCGAGATCGTAAAGGGTTTCGTCTTTGAAGTATAGGGAAGAGAAGCGGAGAAGAGAATGAGATAGAAATAAGATTCTTTATTTTTTTCTTTTTCTTTTTCTTTTTTTATTTTCCCCTCAGAAGGGAAAAAATAAAAACGAGAAAGAAGAAATTCTCTTCCTTCGTAGAGGAAAGGGAATGCCAGGAGGCTCACCGGTTATTTAAGCGTAACTCGTATCGCGCTAGCGGAAATCGACAGATGCGAGACTTCTTTTGGGTTCGAAGGCATCCGAATGGAAAAGGATTGTGAGAGAAGAAAGGCGAGAATAAGAAAGCCGACAAAAAGAAGAAGAAAACGGCGAAGGGGGGGAGGAAAAAAAGGGAATAAGAGGAGGAGGAGGAGGAGAAGAAATGCGAAAGGCGGGATGGCAAAGAATTCGATGTGAAAGATTTTTCACGTAATATTTGTCGATGGTAAATATTATTATTACCTTTTTCAACCAAGGTACAAATCAAAATTGACGCGTTTAGATTTGTTATTATTATTAAAATTTATATGCAAATGTTTATCTATTAAAAAGGAGATATTAAAATTAATATATATATATATAAGATGTTTACTTACGTTACTGTTACTTACGCGATGTGTTTAGATTTCTTATTATTGTTAAAATATATGCAAATGGTGTTATCTATTAACAAAAAAAAGGGTATGAAAAATTAATATATTGGATGCTTACTTACTTACGTTACGTTTATAGATATTTTTTTTTCTTTAATGAAACATTTTTCTTTTCATTATTACGATCGTTAACGAAAAAGATTATTTCGCGTTTAGGATAACACTCCCTTAGGGTAAATAAGGTAGAAAAATTCGTTCAATGATAACAGTATTGTAGTATAACCATAATGTCGAATGTTTCCTTTATGATGCCAGACGAGTTGGTTCGGATAAGCCGACAGATTGTACCACCTTTCGTAAAATTGGACTAGCTAGGAGAACTGTTTCCTGTGGCTGGGTCGAAACAAAACCCCTTTGGTTTCGTGAAGATATGGAAAAAAAAAGGAAATAGTTGGAACCCGATAAGCTCTAGCATAGAAGATAAGCTTCTTCCATCGTCTAAAGTAATAGGAAGGTGGGGTCTTTGATAGACGATAACTCGAAACACAAGTTTTTTTGTCAAACAATGGTGTCTTAAAAATTTGGATTTAAAACAAATGATATATATTTTCATATTACGTTACGATAATAAAAAATGAATGATTAATATTAAATATATATCCTATATTATTATACAATTATTATTATTATTATTATTAATTAAAACGGTCGTGAAAGTCAAAGTATATTTCACTGACATAAGTGTCAGAATTTTTCAACTAACCGTGAAAATGGGAAACGAAAGAGTAATATTACGATGATGGATGATATATAAAACCAAAGGGTTACGAGTTGAGGGAGAAGATAAGAAACGATGATCGATAGAACGAAACCCCCGTCGTGATATTTTCATCTCCCTCTCTCTCTACTACTGTTTTATATTAATAATATTTACAAAGAAGAATGTAATTATATATCTAAATTGTATAGATTGTCTTATTATTCAAAATACTTCTGTCTAATCGTTAATACCGATTAGTATAAATCGTATGTCGAATATTTTCGACAAACTGTGTATTATTTCTTGAGATTATTTCAATGATTGATTTGATTTTCTAGAAAAATGTATAGAAATTTCTAAAGGATGACGTGGGTGATGATTTCGCGGCAACTGTCGTTAGGAAACGGCTTGGGGGTTATGGCACGAGCAGAGGTTTGATCACTGCATTTGATATCATCGTTGCCAGCGGCTGACTGCTCGGTGCTACCAAGCTCATAGATTACAATGTGCTGCGCATACTGTGCCATCGATTGAGAGAGAGAGAGAGAGAGAATATGAAAGGGTGAGAGGACCCAAGGGGTGTAGCGTGAGAACGTGGCAAGGGAGGTTGCGGTAAAGACGATCGAGAAGATGGATGGAGAAACTACCCTCTTCTCTCGATCGTGTGCCATATGCAAACTCGGTAATAGGATCTATCTTCTCTCGTTGATCGCTACCGTTTAACGCTCCATTTTCGAAACTGTTCTTAAGATTCTCTTCTATATTTTTAAAGAATTTTTCCAACAGGAAAAAAAACAAATGAAAAAAGGATTAATTTCGTTTGACGAATCATTCTTATATACATATATTTCTAAATATTAATGATTAAGATTATTTTTTGTATAAATTGAAACATCTGATATTATATAAATTTGTTGATGTGATAGTTGTGTGCATTAAAATACGATTCAAATGAAATATAATTGATTTAACGTATGTCAATGGGTTGTTAATTTTGTACAAAATATTGTAAAGGGTTTTTTCTATATTATATGATCTTTTATAGAGGGGAAACAAAACAAAAAAAACAGTTGCCCCGGTAAAGTCACTTATCAGTCAAGCTTTTTACGAAATAAAATTATATATTCAAATATCATTTAAATGAAATTAAAATCAGTTTTTTCCTGCTT